ATCGCCTCCGTCTTCAGGGTAGAAGAAAAAATATAAGAAATCTGCAAGCGAAGAGACCGTGAGAACCGGTAAAAGCAGACGTCGGGTAACACCACATATACACGGTGCCAAATCCCAGAAGACTGCTTTCTTCAAGAATGTTTATATTTGTGAAGGCAAAAGCTCCTCACGAGATTTGTGTTCAAATAAACTGTGTCGAGACTCAAATTAGTTATTTCTTGTATGACACATCTATTTACCGTTTGGAATGGTGTGTATTTTAGACTAATCTGTAGTATGTGCCTTAATAAATTTAATAAACACTATACATAACAGAGGCACACCTTTAACCTCCCGTCTATCACATGAGTGCGCCGCAGTAACATACTCACCAGTTATTACATAAATTTTAATTTATCATTTACATTCATTTTCTGAGAATGTCGTATTAAACATCTTTCACATTACACACTCCAGTGGCGCCGCAGGGTGATAAGTCTTGTAAATACCGAATCTTATGCGTTAACATGTATTCCGTTGCGTAGCGAAGAAAATAACGGTGGACATAGCTTCATGCATTATACACACATGCAGATTCCTAGCAAACACTGGACATGCAGAATGGAAAGAAAATGAGCAAACAAAGTATGTGTACATTACTGTACATTAAGAGCTTAACGAATTACAAACTCCATGCTAAAATCATCGAGCCCAATAGCGGAAGTAACTTTGGGATTGGGCCGCGCCATAGCTCAAGCGGTTAGTCGCTGGCTTCTCACCGCGGCGGCCCGGGTTCGATCCCGGGTCTGGTCAAGTGGGATTTGTGTTGGACAAAGTGGCGCTGGGGCAGGTTTTCTCCGAGTACTTCGGTTTCCCCTGCCAATCTTCATTCCACCAATTGCTCCACAATCACCCTCACCTATCATCTGGGGCTGGTACAATTGGCCAGAAGTGGCCGCAGTACAAGGGACTTAGTCCCACCCCACTAGCATTAAAAAAAATAGTTAATAATTAACCAACCATGGAGCACAGTCCTCGAGAAGGCGATTATCGCTCACGTGGTTAAGAAGGTATTCACTTTTTAGGCGTCGACCGGTAACGGTTCCCTGACCACTTCTTAACCTTTTAAAGCCTAATGGTTACTATATGCACGACCTGGTTTAACATAGTAGAATTCTGCATTCTGCCCGCACAGTGTGTTTGTGTGCTTAATATGGTTCTCACAATAAGCATCGAACGTTTTCCTAAACAGCATTAACCGGGTGGTCCTTGTAGCGGAGACACAGTGTGTTTTTATATTTTTTATATTTATATTTTTTATATTTAGTTTGGAAAAAATTCGGTCTTTAAAGGTTAAGAAACAACTAGAATCTGGATCTGAGATGCAATCTAAATTATTTCCTCTGCATTGGACAGAAAACACAAGATACGTCATGAGGAATGATCTCTCTTCCTGTAATCTGCTGCCATGACTTCTAAATGTCACGGACCCTGATAACTTACTGTACGCAAACGAAAATAGGCTCTGGCTATCTGGCCGTGTTTTCAAACGAACAAGCCTTTATATCTCCTATTGTACACAAAGGTCATAATTAAAATCTGCCTATTTTAGGTACTGCAACCCATTGCATACTACGAATGACATATTTTTGGGGTTTCTCTCAGTCTCTCCGACCAAATACCATGACACTAAACGCAATGCTCACACATAACTCAACGCCATATGACAGCTGCAGTCGATATAAAATCGATATATCGTTAAGAAGCAGCGACCCCTCTCGTCTGGATTTATTTGATGTTCCGAAAGATTAATGACATAAAACTGATCAGCAGTAAAACAGAAATTTAATTAATTGTGGCTTTACAAATAAAGGTTAAAAGGTAAAACTATCCCTGTAGCAGGCCGTGAAGGCCCATAGGGTTGTGAGACGTTGAGGCTCCCACATTTTCTCTAGATAATCAGTTCACAGATGGCGGTGAAGTTGTTTGCCTCACTCTCCGGCCGTCCTCTACCTCCAGGAATATTCCTGGTATTCATTTATGTTACTTGCTGAGTCGATCATAGGGCCATTGTGTGGCTGGAAGGATTACATCAATTGAAAAATGTAACGAGTTCATTGATAACCGAACCCGCGACCTTCCGGTTTGTAGCATAGTGCCTCAACCAACCGCGCTTCCGCGATCCCCCGAGGTAAAACCTCGATAATTGATGGGACTAGTCAGCTTCACGCTCCGACTGCAACATGTCTTGAGAAATACTCCCGGGGATCACTTGCACAGGGAGCTGTGTGGGATCCAGTTGTTCTGAATGCGTTGCAGACCCGAGTCCGTTCCCCTTCTGGGAATTCCATTTCAGACGTACAGCCCGTAGTCACTGAGCTACAGTGCAGAGCTCACACATATAATAATTTTAGCATGAAGTACAGAGTATTTCTGAAACCTATAAAAAGCTGACATCTGCACCACAGAGTCCAAACTGGCTGTGGGACCCACTCAGCTTCCTACCAATAGGTACTGGCGTCTCTTTCCCTTGCGGTAAAGCGGTCGGGGCGTGAAAATCACCACTCACCTCCATCTAGAGCGAAGGTCAACAATGGTGGAGCTATACCTCCACTCCCCGACTTGTCATGGCGAGAAGTTTACTAATCAAGCAGAAGGCAATTTTGCCTCAGTGTACACCGTGCTTCCATATGACGTGCAATGGCTAAAGAATACAGTTTGTAACTGAAATAGCAGCAGCCAATAAAAGAAAACAAATTCAGCCTTGGTGACAGAATTAAAAAGGTGTGCTTCCTGTATGCACAATGTCTGTTTACTGCCTATTAAAAGGTATACGCCCATATGTACCCAACCTATGGCTCCCGAGCTGAGGGCGGCTCTTTTAAAGCATTAGCGTGGCTTGCGAGAAAAATAAATACTATCAAATCCGCATTCTTATCAACGGATTAAAAAAAAGTATGTTGCGTGGAACGTAGGCACGTGAATACCTACGTCATCCAACCCACAGCTGTTCTTCCCAAGTTCTGACAATTCTACTATGTGTTCGGCCACACCTGTGGATACGTTGCTTTTAAACTGAATGGATATCAGCTTAAAGGAAGATTAACAGGAGGAGTCTGGTTACATGATTTGAGAAAAGCTGGTGTGAGGGGTATCACCAGTGTAACAATTTTCTCCAAATCCGTTTTCATGAAAATGGTGTATAAGACATGAAAAAGAAAGAAAGAAAGAAAGAAAGAAAGAAATCCGCGAGCGAACCAGCGTGAGGATTTCTTTTTCTTCTACCCTGAAGATGGAGACGATACGTTCCCCCGAAACGTCGGTTAACACAATATCTACACGACGCCACATTCCAGAAAACAGCTTTCTTCATAGTCACCACCGTGAAAACCTCAAATCTTACATAGTGTATAAGATATCTTTATTTTATGGTTTACATCCAGAAACTCGAGTAACAGGCCTCAAAAAGAACTGGGCTGAATAAAACCCAGGCATTCTTACGTTTGCAAAACATACGATGTAGACATAAATTAGGTTGGTTTCGGCACTTAATTCAAAGCGCCCCTAAAATAAATTTAGTGAATATAACTTAGAGATTGTAACGCTTGAATAACAAGGAATCTATACCAAGTCTAGTCAAAGTGTGTGCAATGAAATAATTCCACAGTGCTGTGTCCTTCTTGAGAAGCCAATAGCTGGTTAGCCACTCAAGAAATATCCACCCCAAGGTTCATTATCGTGTTGACATCAGCCTGCCACTGGCCTCTCTCTCCTGAGACAGATGAATCTAGCCCACACTCCTCATCGTATTTCTCCAAGATCTATTTTAATATTATCCTCTCATCTACGTCTAGGGCTTCCTAATGGTCTCTTTCCTTAAGGGTTCCCTACCAAAAGGACCCGCTAAGACGCCACTAAACTCTTAATTTATGATCCAACGTAAAGTGACCCTTAAACGCATTGAAATTAAAACGAAATAAAAATGTCTCGGGAGAATTCAATGCACGTCTACCGCACTAAGTTCGATCGAAATTGTTTGGTTTAACACATGCGCTTTAAGTTTCAGTCAGACTGACACGAAATTAATACCGGTGTTTTCTCATCACTCAGCCTCGTGAGAATAACTGAGGAGCTATTTCAAGGAAATAGCGGCTCCGGTCTAGAAAACCGAAATTAACGGCCGTGAGGATCCGTTGCGCTGACCACGTGACACCCTCTATCCGCAAAATTTGGCACTAACTTCGTCGACAAGCGGCGGTCACTCGGTCGGTATAGTTCGCTTGCGGACTACAGGCCACGGAGTTCGTTTTCTGTTTGTAAGAGTAGTCTCATCATTTTTATAAAGGTAAAGTTGTCCCTGTACTTAACTAATTAAGCAATACGCCATGAAGGCGTATGGGGCAGTCGATGTATAGATCCATATTTTCTTGACCTCGGCACCAGTTGGAGGTGAGTGGTCAGCTTCACGCCCCGGTCGCTTTACCCCCGTGGAAACAGCCCTCGGTATCCACTGGATAGGAGGTTGGGTGGACCCCAGAACCGGTCTGGACGAAATGTATAAGTGAAAATGTTTTGACCCTACAGGGACTCGAACTCCGACCCCTTAGTCGTGCAGCCCGTAGCCAGTCGCTACACAGACTACGCTACTCCGGCTACTCTCAATTTATGCCCAAATAAATATGGAACATTCTTGGAAGGAGACGTCATAAAGTGTACATAACTTCCCATTAACCACCGCCTGCCATAGTCGAATGGAGGTTTGAAAGGCGCAAGTCGCTATAAAGTGCGGTAGGCACGGTTAAGAAATGGTTAAGCTATGTTGTTAAACTGCTGACCGGACCTTCTATCACCCACACGTGCTGTGGTCAAACTGGCCAAGTTATGTTTGCACACGGCAGAGAAAGGAAACCTACACGAGCACGGCTTCCTCCCTCTTAGCTTCAGCCCATAGACCTAAGTAGACGTAAACAGATAGCAAGTCCCACGATCTCAAATATCTGCCTACGCACATCTGTACTCACCACTCCATTTTGAATTCCGGTCCGGCACTTCTGCATGTACACTGCTCAGGGCACAATCCACTTGCTAACAGATGCTGGACATTCACGTGTCGATTTTCGCCTTACTTTTGACATTCTTGACACTCTATACAACACCACCAGGTCACAAGAGATACCAACACTCAACTTGCTTACACAGATCATACTAGCAGGTGTGACTGTTCAACTACGGATGAATGAACCACTGTTGACACTGCCGACATTCCATTCACAACTACCACGGAACATGGGTACCAACATACAAGATATACATGAGGGCGTAAGTGTTCAACTACGGACGAAGAGAAAAATATAAAGTTGTCCCTATGCTTAACTAATTACCCACTACGCCATAAAGAGGTAATGTCGTAGTGGGTGTATATAGATCCACGTTTCTATGACCGCGACAACAGTTAGGAGGTGAGTGGTCAGTTTCACGCCTCGGCCCATTTACCCCTGAGGAAAGAGCCCCCGATGCCCACTGGATAGGCTAGTTGGGCTCCAGAGCCAGTCTGGACGACGTGAAGAAGAGAAAATTCTTGCTCCAACCGGGACTCGATCTCAGAACCCGCGGTCGTCCAGCCCGTAGCCAGTTACCATACCGACTGTGCTATCACGGTTCCGCGAAAAAAAAAATAGGGGTGGATAAATTAATGTAACTAGTAACCAAGCCTGCTGATAAAAACAGATTATAACGTTTGAAATTGGTTTTGAAATCAATGACCGATATATGTAAAAGAAAACTTTTATCGGATCACATGCAGTTACTACACGAGAAAATGAGGTATAGGACTTTACAATGCATAGGCCTAACAACAGCCACACGCTTAAAATACAAAGTGGTTTGGTATTAAACTCATAATAATTAACTTGCACATACCAGATACGTGAACTGCCTCATAAATCGGGAAGCTTACTTTACGTTTTAAAATACTGCGATATGGCAACTGATAAAAGTAAAACCTGCACACGCACTCTCCTCCGTGACTTCAAGATTTTGTTTCAATTCGACTGCTTTCTAGTGCACGGTCTTCAGTTTATGACGCTGTGGCCACAATTCGAAAGTGAACTAGCCAAGACTAATTACCAGAAATTTGCACATCCCTAGGCTTCCACACATCACAATACGTGACATCACGAAACTACGAACTCACACGCGCCTTTTTTAATCACATTGGAGCCAAAATATTTCAAAACGGAAGTTAACACGCATGCCAACATTACATTAAAATAAAAACTACACTATTTCAATTTAAGACTGATTTAAGGCAATCACAAGCAGAAAACGGTTCATGATACCTGCGACAATTGACGGCTCTCCTTTCGCCACGCAAACAAATGCACAAACGGTGGTACGATATAACTAGAACACCAGATGCAGGAATACAAGCTCCACTCACTACAACGAGGCCGGTCGACTGGCAACTGGGTACTGTATGATGGAGGTTAATGGCGTGCAGTCTCTTTCCCCTCCGCCCCACCAGATTCCACTCCTAATTCTCCACGTCTGTATCAGCTATTAATAATATTCCATATGCAACAAGTAATACCACGTATCAGACCAATGTCTGTATTGTGCTTTGTTTATGATACATTATGTTGCTTCCATTATAATTAAAATAAACAAATAACCTCTGCGCTTAATTTGGCAACATGTAAAATGACGTATGGGGATTGGAAGTATAACGCCACACATTCTTAACATTGACACTAGATTGCAAATTCCGACTGCTTTATTTCTGGGTAACATCTCAAATACACATTATACTGGAGACTGTGGGTACCAGAGCCAGTGTGGTTCCTTTGGAGAAGTGAAATATCTCTTGCCTCTGATATAACTCTCAGTCCCTGGGTTGTCAGCACATAATCTAGTCATTACATCAACTGGACTAACCTCTTGGTTAAAGACCGACTCTAAAGCCCAACCAGCCTCCTATCCAGTAGGTACCAAGGGCAATGTCTCCAAAGGCAAAGCAGTCAGGGCGCACAAGTCAGTAATGGTGGACCTTTATCTCTATTTCACCATGTCTTTATGGCACAGTGTTTAATTAAGCACAACTTTACCCAGTCCACTGGTACTCTTTATGTCTGGTGTTACCTGTAGGGTCGAAACATACAGTGTACTAGGAACTGTATGACTTGATCCTGGACATGTCTGTCTGTATGCATTCCTTGCCAGCTTACCTACTGGCTGAAAAGCCACTGATTAAGATATTAATACAATTTATTGTATTCATTTATTTGCTCTATAATTTGATCTACCATTTAAATCTTTGGTAATTTATCAACAGTGGCAGCTGGGATGCGCCATAGCTTAAGCAGTTAGTCGCTGGCTTCCCACCGCAGCGGCCCAGGTTCAATCCCAGGTCTGGTCATGTGAGATTTGTAGTAGAGAAAGTGGCGCTGGGGCAGGTTTTCTCCAAGTACTTCGGTTTCCCCTGCCAATCCACAATCACCCACACCTATCATCTGGGGCTGGTACAATAGACCAGAAATGGCCAAAGTACAAGGGACTTAGGCCCACCCCACTAGCAATAAAAAAAACAGTGGCAGCTTTATGTTTAAGCTAAATAAGTTTGCATTATGGTCACAATAAATAAATTAAATACATATTAATTATATTAAGTCATTTATCAACAATGGTAGTTTTATATTTAAGCTAAATATGCTTCCATTACGAAGGGTCACAACAAATAAATTACATATATATATAAATTATACATTAAGCCCTTAATTGTTTGTACTCTTACTGTAACACACAACTAATATATACATACACAATAGTGATATTTTTTTTATTTCAAAAGTACCACTGCTATTGATAATTTGACTGTTAACTCTTACTGGACCTTTGTCAGCAATTATACTCAGGTTTATAAGTTAAAGAATTTCTATTCACATGTTTTCCATCCTTAATTTATTTTCCCATTTCCACCCTTGAATAATACTGCACTTTATTGTTAGAATTCATATGGTAACATGTTGAGTATGTAAGAATATGCAGCAGAGACCACTGCCTGCTTAAGGGCAGTCTTGCACAAAGCCAAGCCACAGAGATAACTGATATGAACGGATGGAACTTCCTGTAATCCTTCCTCTTGCTCAGTCTACTTGGCTCCAAATACCAAAATGCTACAACAAAATCCACTGGAGATATTACAGATAACTCTATTTCCCAGAAGCAGTTCTGTTCCTTGATAACGGTCCTAAAAATCACAGTACATCTTATATATCATAAAGCAAAGTTTAAAATGAGATAAATTTTAGTTTGTTCAGTTGATTTTTTCATTATGTAACACTCAATTGTTTACAGCCCTTTTAAAGAAATGCACAATTTTGTTAAAATTAATTCATATTAAATAATAAACTACTGTAACTGAAATTAAGAACTCAAAAGGAATTTCATAATTTGTTACATAAACTTCTGCACCATTAACGTCCCTTTCTACTGCCACATTTACTTCCGGTCCTTTGTGTTATCAAATCATACGTCAAGGCCGATATTTATCACCATCTCCCACAAATAACACAATCAATTAATCATAAACTATCTCCATTACACAGTACACTACACTTCCATACCCATATCAGAATATCACAAATATTCACAGAACAGGCACGATACACTGAAAAAAAATTTGCTCACTTGTTTGTAACCTATCACATAACTTACATCCATGCAATGTGTTTAATGTTAGATAATTCCTTGTTACAGTAACCAAGAATTGTGTAATTTCAGAGTTTTCATCACACCATTACATTTCTCTTCTATATGCACAGAAGTATTCTTAATTTCTCCTCCCTAAACCATTATGCAATTTATACACCAGAAAATACTCTTAGTGCTTTCATTCATTTCTGTCTCAGTATCTACAAGCAATAAATGAAAGTAACAATCAGCATCTTGTGCTCTGGGCTACTGTAATTACAATTAGAACCAGGGTCATAAAAGCAATGGGAATGATGAAACAGAAGAGGGGTAACTGCAAACTGCTTTCAGCATTTGGATTATTTCACAAGATGCTTCTTCATAGGTTTATTACTTATTTCTGCTTCATAATAAAATTCCTTGCCTTTGCTGTACAAATTATGATACTATCCTTTGATCGATTTACTGACAGTGCATATGATGGATTCTGAATTTCTATGATGAGAAAGAAATCATAAAATGGAATGAGGGGAACGTTTGATAATGGTTTGTAAAATGAAAACAAGTCAAATGTATATAATTTCCTATATTTATTCTGCTTGAGACATAAGAAACCAACTTAAAACATACTCAGTATATGAGACCTGGGATCTCAAACCCAACTCACCAAAGTATTTTTATTTATTATCTTTCTAAATGTACATAACGATGTTACATAAACTACTAGTTTACTTACTGTAGACTTTCTAGTACTGGATCAGTTCAGTATTCCTTCAGAGGAAGTGAGGAAAGCTGTTATAAAATCTTATGTTGATTAACAGGTGCAAACATTATTCAAACTGGGTATCTTCCAAGTATATAGTAATCACATCCACAAACGTCTGCTATGTCACAAAATGGACTGTGCCTATCTTGTGCTGTTTTATTTCCTTTCATAGAACTTACTGACATGAGAAGCATTTGCACAGATTATCACAGAGTGTTGGCTACCATCTGAATGTTTCAGTTAAGGACCTACATATTCCTAGAAGTTAACAGTCCAAGAAATTAAAACCTCATTTTATCATATCAAATATCTCTATTACATAGATACTTATCGCCTTATTTAAGTGGGGTGGTCGCAGGATCTAATATATTTATGAATGTTAGTGTATGTAAAGTCCTTGTGAAGTTAATAGGCTCTCAGTTAATGAAACAATTTACCACTTTAAAGCTCACATTTATATGACAATTGCTTGTAGCAAAATGAAAGCAAAACACTCATCTTCACCCCTGATTCTGAGACAAATCTATCAAGAATACACATGGATCACACGCCATTAAGCTGGTTGAAGATATATGGCATATTCACACTGCATTCATTCTCATCCTTGACTTCAACTTACTCGTAGCACTTGACATTTTTCTGAGTGCATCCAGAACTGTAAAACTGTCTGCATTTTGTACTTAATAACTTCAGCTTTCAGGATATTCCACTTAGTGTTGAAGGTTTTCCAGTGTTTTGGCAAAACATTCCAGGTGCCATCTTCTGAGTTAATGACTTGCAGGGGGGAGGGGGGGGTTGCAGCTCTTAGTAGCTTTCACAGCTGGCAGGGAGTGGGAAGACATGACTGGGTGCTATCCAATGGGGAGTGATCACGTGTTTATTGAAGAGAGGTGATGAAAATACTTTTGACAATCAAAGGACATGAGAAAAGGTGACAAAAATGTTTCAGTGAACATATGGCAAATGAAACAGGGTGCTGAAAATTGTTGTGGCAACCAACTGGCCATGAAAAGAGATGGAAGAATTTTTAGCAACAACATGGTGAAGAAAAAATAAGGATAAAAACGTCTTCCTTGTGCCTAATTAATTAAGCACAACACCATGAAGATACATGGGGGAATGAAACTATAGTTCCGCCATTTGTAACCTCAGCTCTAGACAAAGATGAGTGACCAGCTTCATGTCCTGCCACTTCACCCCTGGGGAAAAAGTCCCTCATATCCACTGGATATGAGGATGGGCTCGCCCCAGAGTCGGTCTGGACCCTATGGAGAAAAGAAAAATCTACTATCTCTGCTGGGAATCAAATTCCAATTCCCTAGCCAATTTGCCAATCACTATACCGACTGAGCTATTCTGGCTCCCAGTAAGGAGAACAGTTGATGAAGAGAGTTTAACAACCACATGACCAGGAAAGGAAATGCTGAATAAGCATATATTAATCATGAAAACTCATAAGGGTTCCACATACATACATCAGCGTTTCAGAGTATTCATAAGTGTGCAACTGGCACTGAATATAAAACCTGTCAAGCAACAAGTCATGAGACAATCACAGATAAATCATATAGACATCAATTCGACCACAGTTAAAATCTAAACTGAATACCTCAATTAAATAGATACAATGTTACACATACAATTACACCAACAAGATAATTAGCAATACATAATAATTCTCCTTCTTCATATGCATGCAATGAAGAACTATAGTTGTCACATATTTAGATATAAATTGCACAGTAATATAATGAAATATACCTAAATAAACATATTTCTGACTATAAATCCTTACAATAAAGCAAAAATTCATCAAATTAATAAAACGAATTATTGATTAATATTTCTTTTAGTTTTCCTAGGAAAAGTTTCCTGTCTTGTACCAAATCTCTTACATAGAAGCAAACTGTTGAAAATTTTAACACACACATAATAAACTCCTTTTGGCCTTACTGCTAAATGTGACTGAAATACTTGTAAATCCCCTCTGTGTCATGTGGTCTTATTATGGAGTGCATCATTAAAAATAAAATATTCAAGATTACTTATCATAAAGATCATAATATATGTAAGATTTGAGGCTTTCACGGCGGTGACTATGAAGAAAGCAGTCTTCTGGGATTTGGCACCGTGTATATGTGGTGTTAACCGACGTTTCGGAGGAACTGGTAAAAGCAACTGCTTTTACCGGTTCTCACGGTCTCTTCGCTTGCAGATTTCTTATATTTTTTCTTCTACCCTGAAGATGGAGGCGATACGTTCCTCCGAAACGTCGGTTAACACCACATATACACGGTGCCAAATCCCAGAAGACTGCTTTCTTCATCATAATATATATTGGGAGGCCAATGTTAATGTTTAGTTTTTTAATACCGGCCTGCATGTATCTCTTTGTTTCAATCCCATCATCACCTTAACAGTTCTCTTCTGTAAGAGAAAAATCTTCTTAGCATCTGGTGAGTTACCCCAGAAAACTGTCCCATACCTCATGACTGAATGAAAATATGCATGATATATCATCCTAAGTGTTTCAATATTACTGTACAACTTTATATTACTTAATGTGAAGCATGTCTTGCCCAATCTGGGTAACATTACTTTAACATGTGTTTTCCAGTTTAAAAACTTATTTCAAGGTCGAAAAATTTGATATTTATTGCATCATATAATACCTAATTTTTATACTGCAGTTACATTGTCATATTTCCATGATTAATTGTTTCAAATTTTAACACTTTAGTTTTCTTCATATTTAAAGACAGGCCATTACTTGTAAACCAAAGATTTAAGGAATTTAACACATGTCTCAATTTTGTTTGGATATCCTGGATATTATCACCCGATACTAATACTACACCTGTATCATCCGCATACAACAATAACTTGATATTGGTATTTAGACCTAGTGATAAATCATTAATATAACAGAAACAGCAAGGGAACCAATATCAATCCCTGCGCCACTCCACATTTAACAGTTTTCCAACCTGAACAAATTTTCCCTTTCTCAGTATTGTACAATTCAACTCTCTGTTTCCTACCCTCCAGAGAGGACTTAATCCATATTATGATTTTACCACAAATACCACAGACAACCAATCTGCTCAGAAGAATATCATGAATGACACAATCAAACGCATTTGTTAGATCACAAAAAATTCCTAATATTTGTTTATGCTGATCTAAGGTTTTTAAGATATGATTAGTTAAGGTGTAGATTGCATTTATGTGCTGCTTTATCCTATTATACATCAATCTTTTAAGCAACTTAGAAAAGGTTATCAACAATGACATTGGTCTATAATTTGTCTAGAGACATTTGTTTTTGCCGATGCTTCAAAATTTGGTGAAAATGCGACACAGCATTATCATTATATAAATTTGTAGTGCGCATAGCCATTGCCTTATTAGGGTGATGCTTCTCAATGTACGATGCAACAGTTTCCCATGCTTTCAGCATTTCTCTTATTGCACCAGAAGATTGTTGCTGAAACACAATGCAACTCCATAAGCTCTTCGGTGGTCAGCTCTTGGCTGTGCTCTTGCACAAGCTCATCGATATCATTGTTATCCACCTCCAGCCCCATGATCTTGGCCAAAGACACAATCTCGTTGACTACAGACTCCACAGGTACTATCTCAAACCCCTCAGTCACATTCGACAATGCTCTCCGGCCAAAGCTTCTTCCAAGCAGAAGTGAGGGTTTTCTTGGTAACCCCTTCCCATGCCTTTTTGATCATCTTGAGGCAGGCAACGACGTGGAAGTGATATTTCCAAAACTCTCTGAGAGTGAGATTGCTCCCTTCAGTCACCTCAAAACAACGCTCGAAGAGTGCTTTAGTGTACAGCTTCTTAAAGTTAGAAATAACCTGCTGGTCCATAGGCTGGAGTAACAGAGTGGTGTTGGGAGGCAGAAACTGGATCTTGATGAATTTAAATTCTTCAAGGAGGTCAGCTTGTAGGTCTGGAGGATGGGCAGGAGCACTGTCCATAACAAGTAAGACATGGAGTAACAGATTCATCTCAAGCAAGTATTTTTTTACAGAAGGACCAAACACTTCATTGATCCAATCAGTAAAGAGGTCATGTGTCACCTAAGCCTTGCTGTTGGACCTCCACATCACATTTAGCCTGCTCTTCTGGACTTTACACTTCTTGAAGACTCATGGAGTTTCTGAATGGTAAACAAGCAACAGTTTAATTTTCAAACTGCCACTTGCATTGGCACAAAATAGCAGCGTGAGACGGTCTTTCATTGGCTTATGGCCGGGCAATGCAATCCTCTGCTGTTATATAGGTTCGCTTCGGCATCTTTTTCCAGAAGAGACCCGTCTCGTCACAATTAAAAACCTATTGCGGCAGGTAACCCTCAGAATCTACGAGCTTCTTGAAGTCGCCGATGAAGTTCTCTGCTGCCTTTTGTGTCGGAGCTTGCTGCTTCACCGTGCCTTACAATGCTGTGGATGCCGGTTCTTCTCTTAAATTTCTCGAACCACCCACGGTTTTCCTTAAATGCTTCTTCGGCCGTTGATGATCCTGGCGTCTTCTTAACGAGGCCAGCGAAAATCACTTTCGCCTTCTCACAAATGATGTTCTCGTTAATAGTGTTGCCTTGCAATTGCTTTTCGTTTATCCATATGAGGAGCAACCTTTCAACATCATCGAGAATACGTAACCATTGCGTAGATATTCTTGTCACTCCCTTTGAAGCATCTATCTCCTTAGTCTTGTCCTTGTTCTTGAGGATAGTGCAAATCGTTGATGTAGACTGATTGTATGTGTGTCCTAGATCAGCCATGCTCACACCTTGTTCTCGCTTTTCAATGATTTTATATTTCATTTCTATGGTTATTTTTATTCTCTTTTGCGGCTTTTTCTTCGGGAACATTTTTTCAAGGGTTATTAAACTTTGCACAAAAGAAATCATAAATAATATGTCTGAACACAAGTTTGGAAAAATGTGTGATCACAAGCGACACTAAGATGCTAGCGGAACGAGTGCTAAACACAGGCTGATGTAGCAAGCGCACAATCCGGGACTTCCCATCTCGTCACTCGTTAAGCGAGTCGTTTTTTTACGATTTGTTTTGCTCGTTTTGCGAATTACTCATTATGAGAGGTGCTCGTTAAGTGAGGTTCCACTGTATTAAACACAAGTACAAGAACTTTTGTGTTTAAATGTTTGTATAAGGTGTATGTTATGCTTTCTCATTGCCAGTAATATCAACAGACCTCTCACTTGCATATTATCTTCTGAAATAAAATTATCATAAATTGTACAGCAGTTAAGTACTTCCAAAAAGGAAAATTTGCAGAAACTGTTGAACTAGGACAATATGAAAGGGAGAGGCACAGAAGGAAACATTCTTCAGCACTATAAGCCCTAGTTCTACCAACATTTAGATTATAATTTTTCTTCCTTCTCTTTATTAATTTTTAAATAGCATGAAGGAAGTAGAATGCATGAAATGTCTTGCAATATGGAATGAATCTGTAACGTCTCACAGTGGCAAACTGCAGCTCAGAGTCCAGACCTAGTCTTCTGTGTGAAACTGATCAATCTCAACAAGTAAATAACAAAAAGGAATTTACAGGAAGAGACAAGGCTCCAGAAATATAGTCACCCACTCACAAATAAGTGGATTCATAGTGACTGCTGGTAAGCATATTTTTAGCTTCAATCTGTGTACAGACAAGTGGATGTTGTTAAGTCATACTTGACTTAAATAGTATTTCTTGAGCCCTGTGAAGAGATTTCAGAGTCACTTAAATTACGAGGATTGACTGTTTGCAACTGAAAAGTCTCTCCATCTCTGCAAATTAATATATAATATTTATTTTTGTTTATTCATAAACTATTAAAAATTCTACATAAATTTTTCCACATCTTACAATTTCTTGTTTTCCGGTCTGCTTCAAGAAGAACGTCATGTGTTCTCACCTGAAATTACAATCATTTCTGTTACATTCCTTGGCTAGGAGAAATGAGGGGATCATAGGAAAATCTGGTTCACATTTCTATTTCAAACACAACCACAGAGTGAGATCTGATGGTTTCAGAGTGGTCAGTATAAAATCTTCTGGGATATAACCACATATATTGGTATGATTTTATTGCATAACTTGTACTCTTCTCTAAGAATGATTAGAATGATGAAGTCAAGGAGGATGAGGTGGGCAGGGCATGTAGCATGAATGGGAGTGAAAAGGAATGCATATAGGATATTGGTGGGAAAGCCAGAAGGAAAGAGACCACGGGGAAGACCAAGGTGTAGGTGGGTGGACAATATTGAAATAGATCTCAGAGAGATGGGATGGGATGGATTGATCTGGCTCAGGATAGAGACCAGTGGAGGGCTCTTGTGAACACAGTAATGAACCTTCAGGTTCCTGAGTAGCTGCAGATTTGGCTTCTCCTCAAGAAGGGCTCAGCTCCATAAGAAGTAAGTAAGTATTGGTACGATTTCACCTATGTTTTGGAGGAGCTCACTGCTCCCATCTTAAGGGTCAAAGATTATGTGCCTCCAAAAGTCGGTAAATTTCTGACTACCATTATCTCATATCCCAGGAGATAGTATAACACATGGATTTGGTTAACATGGAGAACGGGCCTTTATACAACATGGGGTTTCAAGATTTGTCAATGGGTTAGCATTGCACTTGTGCAGATTCAATGCTCAAATGACATCACGTCACATCCATGACCACTACCAACCTCACAGCCATACTATGGCCGTCCAAGGGCTTCCAACCCTAGGATCGAGTCCCGGCCAACACACTATTGACATGCATCGTTAGTATTAATATTATTCATAGAAGGTAAAGGTTCAGTAAGAAAGAGGACATCCGGCCTCCAGAAAAAAAAAGGGTTTAGCCTGCCTACAGAATACAAAAAAAAAAGCATAGAAAGGTTTAAGCTCGCTAAGAGTTTGACAAGAGGTACTTTCTTTTCAAAGGGGTTAGCTCGCGAGAAATACAAGGGAGAAAGGTACTGAGTTCGTGGCAGTGCATAAGACAGGCCAGAACTACCCTTCCTGCAACAACAAATAATAATAAACTTAGTCTTAACATTTCACAACGACATGAAAGGTTGTGTACTGCCAAATTGTACGAAGTAATAAGATAATCCCTTTAAGAAATTGAGGAAAAGAGGGAACTCTCCTTGAATACGGATGAGTGGATTAAGCTTGTACTTAGTAGCCATAAAATGTGTACCCTTTCGCTAATAATACTAATTCACCAAGTACAATTTAGAATAGAACAT